CCATAAATGCCTAGAACAGTCACCAACATAGAAAAACAAATACCTATTACCTCCCAATAATGCCTCCTTAGAAGACCCCTAAATGCCTGAATGAACACCACCTAGAAGACCCTTCGCTCGGTGAATAGAAATGTCAAACTCCACCTCAGTCTTCTTGCTCATACCAATGTGCTCACAGGACTTCAATCTGCAGGTCAAAGCACTCCTCAACAATCCATGTACGACATCAATAATCAAATATCCCAGCATCAACAAACGTCATAGTCTAGCCAAATTCAAAGAAGTCGTCAGCTCTCCACCAATCACCGTTCTTCCAATCAAGTAGTACAAATTCTTCTTTCTGACACCCTTCATCATAATCATGGACCCAAATGTAACATTCAAAGATGCATCCTCTAAGGTCACCCGATAGCCTACTGTCTTCAAAACTCCAAGTGAAAAGATATTTTTCTTCAACTACGGAACAAACTTCACTTCATCCAACTCCCGAATCACCCTGTCACACATCCTAATATGAACGGTACCGATACCACCAATAGAGTATTCATGATCATTACCTATAAGCACGATATCTCCTTTTTCTAACTTCTCAAAGTTGGAGAACCAATCACTCTTAGGACAAATGTGGTAAGAAGCACCCAAATCTAACATCTACTCTATAGTGTCGGCAACACAAACTAACGGTAGTGCATGGTACGAGTAGCCTAAAGAATCCGAATCTAAATCACCACCACTAGCTTTGGCAACATTCACCTCTGAAGCTTGAATAGCTTTCCCCTTATTTTTCCCAGCTTGATCTGTCAACTTTGGGCATTCGGCTTTCCAATGTCCTTTTTTTTACAAAAGGCATACTGATTCTTACCAACTGTAGGGTGTGCTCCTCTAGACTGTGATCTCCTACTATGGTTTGGACTCTTCCCTCTTGCGACCAATGCCCTCCTACTGTATCAATCGAAGTCTCCTTATCTTTCTTCTGAAGCTGATAATTCACAAGTACAGCGATGACCTCACTACACGAAAGAGATGTCTTCCCATTAATAAGAGTAAGAACGAATGTCTCATATTCCTCGTCGGGCAAAGAACTCAACAATAACAACGCCTTGTCCTCATCTTCAACCATAACATATACAATCGCCAAACCCGCAAGAAGTTTCACGTAGTTGTTCATGTGATCACTAATGGATGTTCTGTTTTTTAATTGGAAGCGATAAATCCTCCTCTTCGAATGCAAGTAATTTTTCATACTCTTCATCAAATACTTGCTCTCTAGGATCTCTCAAATCTTTTTTGTCGAAGTCTCATTAATCACATCATATTTCAAATCTTGTGTTAAACAAAATTAATCACACCACATGCTGTTCGATTCATCTTCTTCCAAACCTTCTTCTCAATATCGTCCGGTTTTCCATCCAACTCCAAAGTGTCTTCCAAATTTTGCGTGTTGAGCGCATCCAAGACTTCACATCTCCAAAGACCAAAATTATTAGTGCCATTAAACCTCTTCATATCTATCTTCATAGAGTGAATATTTAAACTTTGGACGGTTTTCATGTTAGAAGTACTCTCCATAACTCCTTCTTTCTCGGCCATCTTCCTCAAAGCACCACCAAACCAATGTAGAACAAACGAAGAATAGATCCAAACTAAAAAGAGATATTTTTATACCTCTAAGTGAAACCCTAACAAGAGCCTCCGAAAGATCTCACCCCCACAAGACGGAAGACAAGATGCACAATAGTAAAGATCTCACCTTTTTCACCAACTGAAACCCTAGACGAGCTTTCAAAGCGAATTACTCCTTCACCTGATCCCAAGCGTAGCCCGAATCTCTGTTATCACTTGTTGTGCGCGGCAGCCAAACCGATGGGGTGCCGAGAACAAATACCAATGTTGAGAGAGAAGGCCAAACAATCCAAAATAACGACACGAATACAAACAAACGGATTTTACGTGGTTCGGCAAGTTGTCTATGTCCACGGGGCAAGAAGGGGATGTGTTTTCACTAATAGAGAAGAAGAGTACAAATAGAGATTACAAATTCACTAACTAATCTCTCACACAAAGCTCACAATCTCTCAAACAAAATCCTAACTAATAGCTCCAGAAAAGACTCTTTTCTATGCTCCAAATAACCCCAAAATTGATCAGAAACAAAAAAATGCATTAAAGGGTCCGCGATCGACCGCACTTGACGCCGCGGTCGACCGGCCAGAAAACCGAAAAACACCCTGTAGTCGTGCACGTTTGCGGTCGACCGTGCCAAAGCTCGCGGTCGACCGGAAAGCACCCAAATGCCTGTCTGCTCCATTTTTCTGATCTTCTCCAATATTTTCGCCAATTCTACACTATATTCTTCTATGTGGACCTATTCATTCTTTCTTCACATGCTAACAATGAGCCCATTAGTTCATTGAAAGAATAAGTAGACAAATCTTTTGACTCCTCTATTGCAGTGACAACATGATCAAACTTAGAAGGTAAATCGTCAACACCTTTTCTACAACTTTTTGATCTTTAATACTCTCACCACAAGTCTTCATAAGGTTTATGGTAACGGAAACTCTAGAAAAGAAATCTTGGATTGACCCTCTTTCTTTCATAAAGAGAGTCAAATTCTCTACATAGGGTTTGGAGTTTAACAACAATTACCTTGTTATCTCCATGGTATTATTGTCGAAGAATTTTCCAAGCTTCTTTTGATGGTCTCATATTTTTAATCGGAAATATTGCCTCTGTAACTCTGCTTGCTGCAAAACTAACAGAGCTTTCACGTCCTTCTTTCGAAGTCCCTTCAGCTCTGTTGTCTTCTCTGAATCTGCGCAACCACTGTCAACTAGATCCCAAAGATCTTGTGAAATGAAAAAGCTTTTCATTTTAATGCTCCAGAGCTCATAATTTTCTCCACTGAAAAATTGGCACCAAGGATTGCGAGAGGTTCAAAGTATTCATACCATTTGAGATGATGAACAACGTAAACAATTACCTCCTCCGCTGCCGTCTATGACTACGGACTTCCCACAAATAGAAAGTGGGTACGCTACTCCTAAATGCTAGGAAACAGTTCTCTCAATCCTAAAGTCCTGTTAAACATACATAACAACTTAAACTATTGGCTCCTACATTCATGCAAGGACCTGGGATTGCATCAAACCTACACATCCCCCTCTAGGTTTGCATCTCAGATCGGCCAACAGCACATACATGCCCTTTTCAATACAAATAAAAGGTAGTTTATTATCAATTTCAGTAATTGCGTCCGATTGCAGTAGACCACTTAATTAAAAACATATCCAATTGTTTGTATATATAAAACCTACATCCGCTGCCTCTATCAGATCTCTTAAATCAACTGTTCACATATCAAAATACGTACGGAGGCATATCTTAGAACTAATCCCATCACTTGTATATTTATAGATTCTCAAAGTGACAATTAAGCATGAATGACCTGAAAACTGGTTATATTAGTAAACCAAGTTCATTAGGAGCAATGAATCTTTCAGCAGGTTACTGGAAACTAAATCTTCACAACAAAGTATAGGGGTTAGTTGGTGGTGGGTAAATTGTCAGCGTATAATATTGGATAACTTCAACCTTAAACAATCACCTAAAAGCTCCACTAGCTTGCTTAATCTTTATTAACGAAAGAAAGTTATAGGTTAATATTGTTAAACTTTGGCAGAATATCCTGCACCTATAATACCTAACCTCTAAAGGGCTATACACTTTACATCTAGTTCATTGGAGGTGAAAGAATTTAGAACTAATAAAAGCATTTTGGTAAAGCAAATATGAAAGGGATTTGGCTAGAACGGACAACTAAAAGATGAGAATTAGGACCAATTAAGTGTGGTTATCCCTTCGTTAATTAATGTAATGCTTTACTTTCTTCGAAATGGACAAATAAAAAGGGCTAGCTAGCTAGTTTCAACTTTAATCACACAAATAATGGAAAAGTTACTCATATTTAATTAAAAAATTTGGTCTTTTTCTCTACATAGCTTTGGAAAATCTCTTGGCTATGATCAGGATTCTGCAAACAAAAGATTTATCTCATAAATTATATATGCCAAGAAAGAATATATTACATATTTGGTTGCTTCTAACATTATTATTTAGTTGCTTGTATAAGATCACTGAACTTGCTTGTAAGTTCAATCTTTGGTTGCTTATAATTGTTTAGCAGCGCGTTTTGTATGCGACTGAATTTGGGGAAGACACTATTGCACTCATCATTATGTTGCTTATATATTTCCTGTTTCCATAATTAATTTGATTCATTAGCGAATTCCATGTGAGATTGCTGTGATATTAGTGCATTACGTACGCTCCGAAATATATATGAAGCGAATATACATATTTCCCTTCCTTCTAAGCTTCATTCATTTTCATGAATATATGATATATAACCAGTGGAGAAAAAAAAATGGTACACATGTATGAATGCATATACACGTATAATACCTCCATATACTTTTATAATCATGTTCCTCAGTTAACTAAATACAACTTAATTAGCATAAAAACCTCACTAATTGGGATGATTCTTTTTATTTTTATTTTTTATATTTTGCCTCTCCTACTTTATTAGGAGAAAGTGTCTGTTATCCATCTCATCCCTCTAAACGCTCATGACATCAATGAGCTATAATATAAGGCTACAAATATCTAATTAAAAAGAAAACTACTAATTTACCATTTGTAATTGCTACGTGAATATTGCAGCCTAACATTCAAACTTATCGTTCCGCATAACCAAGTATCTCACTTCCCAAAATTGCATTGCTCTGACAAAATGCACATGAAGCAACCCCCCCTTCCCATATCCAGAATAGATGAGGCAGCTCATTAACTAGTACCGATGCCATTTATTTGGGTGCATGCAACTATCCACGACACCAAATATAATTGATTCTTTTGATTCCTGTCCTTGAATCTATACATTGATTGCCTTCGAGTTGGGTGTTTGTTCCAGTGGGCAGCCCATATCACCACCCACTGCTTTGGGATTTGGGGGCTTCTGGTTTTTGATCCCATTTAAGGAGCTAGATGGTGCCCTAGGAACCTCAGAAAAGTTTAGGAGTGCTCTTAATTACGGTTAGGTGCGTTAATTCTTGTACTAATGCGGGTGAAATGCTATATATGCTTTGCTTGTTCTCACCTCATAAATACCCCCGGCCAGTCCCTATTGGCCTTGTTGTGTGGGGGACACGTACCCCCCTCTCTCTCTCCCCCCATCTCTCTCTCTCTCTCTAAATTGTGTATTATTGTATAAAGAGGGTGCTTTGTCATGGGGAATGTGGAGTTGGGGGTTTAAGGCTTTGGCATAGGGGATATATTAATTAGGATGGAGTCATGGTGGAGAGAAGTTGCTAACGTTGGGCTAGGGCTTTGCTCGAGGGTTCTCAAGAAAGTTGCATTTGCGAGCCTCACTTGTGCTTTTGCGTTGTGTAAGCCTTCCCTTGCCTCGTTCTTTTATCTAGACTGCTTATGATCCATTAATCTTGTCCTTCACCACCATCCATATTATGTCTCATTATTTTTCCTAAGATAATGGGAAGTGAATAACATAAATGTAATGTTGTTTATAGGCGGTGCATTGATAGGATCGATGTCGGGGGCGGTGAAGGGACAGACGACAGAGACCGGGATGTCGAGGGGAGCGATGATAGGAGCGGTGGCCGGAGCCGTCGTGGCTATGGAGGTGCTGGAGTCTTGCCTACAAGGAGAGCTGTTATCTAAGGTTAGTGTACTGTCCACATTAAGATTGAATATAACCGAATATACTCATATCAAAACTTTTGCTGGAACGAGATTAAGCTTCTGGAAAGAGTAGAAAAGGCAATAAAAAGATATATGCAATTAAAATCTTTTTAAGCAAGAAATATATTATATGAGTAGCAAAAATTAACCCCAAAAAGGTACTACTCCGTTGCCGGGATTTGAACCCGGGTCGCCTGGGTGAAAGCCAGATATCCTAACCGGGCTGGACGACAACGGATTTTTACTGTTGCCTATAGCAATAACTATTTATTAAATTTAGTTATTTTGTCATTACCTCGACAGACAGCTTGAAATATAATAGGACTCCTGGATATATATCTCTCTTAACTTTTTCCTTTAAAGAATCTATCAAAAAAGTTTGATGAAGCTTCCCTTGTTACATTAGCATGTCATACGCTAAGATCTACCAACTTGTTATTGCTTGTCTTTGCTATGATTGTGAAGTTCTAGCTTAGTTTGATAGGCTTGAGTTCCTCTTTTTATTTTTTGCCCCCAATAATTTCTGTTTCAATAAAAGATGTCTCTGTTTTTTTTTTTTGAAAGATCTTTATCATGGAAACATACGAAATTTAGACCAAATCAATACTAAACCTAACTTCTTACAATACTTGCTAAATTTTTTATCAAGGGGGCCACTTCAGTGGCACGAGATACTAGGTTTCTTTTTTCTTGGGAAGCAAAGTACCTACGGCCTTTGGCTTTATCCCCTTATCTATTTCAATTTTTTAGTGGTTCGCAATTTTTCATGGTCCGCAAAATTCGGAACTCTAGTATTACGATTTCTCTATCGATAAAATTTTCTTTCATTTTCTTTCCACGAGGATGGCCATTACACAGAGCAAAATGTATCCTTTACACAATGTTTGGGAATTTTCCAAGAAAAGGAGTTGAGAGAGGATAAAGATAGCGGAGAGAAGGTAAGAGAAAAAGAAATTTCGTTTTAGAGTTTTGGTAAATGGAATGGAATTGAGCTTATTTTACTCCATTTGAAAACTTTAACAAAGAAAGGAAGGAAACTCTTAAACTCAATCTTAATCGTCGGATTTGATCTTGTTTTTGATCAATTCCCTCCCGTCAATTACACCTCATAGCACCTCAATTGACTTAGCTTTCCCTGCATTACCTCCCTTCAAATAAACATGGTGTTAATGATTTAATAGAAAAAGAAACATACCTCAGAAAAGAAATTTTTTTCCCCCACACAAAAAATGCAATCCTTGACAAGTTATGTGACTTTAGATATGAACCTCAAGTCAGATACTAACCTCAGGGGCCCCAGTGGCTTGACCCGGTGGGCTCACTTGAGCTTGACCCCATGGCCACTCAAGAGATTAATGCACTAGTCCTTTAGACCAATATTTAATGCGGCAATAGGAACTATATCTACTGACATTTATGCTGCCTTCTGGGATAAATCTGCTACACGACAAAAACATTCCTGTTATTGGATTCTTGGTTGGCTTTCCTCATTTTGGGCCAGCATTTCATTATGATACTTGCCTGTTCCAGAACCCGACGGGCTTTTTTATTATTATTATAATAATTATATTTCTCACTCATTTAATTTTGTTCCGAGATTTTTGAATTCATGTTCTATTATTCCCTTTTCTAAATTCAGGTGGCCATTTTTAGCAGCCTTGTCAACGGGAAGATCTTCAGAGAGTGGGTCAGCCCAGTAGTGCTCAAGGCTTACCAATGGCAGGTCAGTATGATACTCTGATTAATGTTCCAGAAATTAGACAGATGTTAATAAAAATGGTTTTGCTTGCAGATTAATGCGGTGGAAATAAGTTATGTAGAGACTTCAGATATATTTGATATCAGCAGAAGCAAAGGTCTATTGCCGGAGCTCATAAATATATTGCCATGTTTCAAGATTGCTTGTCACGACACAAGTGACCGTGGGGAGACAAGTTCTTGTGCTGTTTGCCTGCAGGTATTATATGCACATGTGAAAACGTTTGCTAAATAAAAAATGTGTAGGAAGAAATACAGTAAATCCAGGGTACAACTTAGATAATGTTAAGTACACTACATTTTTCTAAGCCGCTCCCTTCATAAAAAGACTGGACCCTACACTTTACTACTTATTTTGTCGTGTGAAAATGGTTTGAGTTGAACCGTGTAGTTAACATTACTCATCGGAATTAGGCGCATGATTTTCCTAAAGGTCATGTTGATTTAAGATTGAAGGCATTTTAAATGGAAGTCCGCCTAGTTTCCTTATTCAAGGAATGACGCTTTATTTAATTGTGGTAGTAAATTTAACAAAGAACGATAGCTAATAGATTTAAATCAGAAAGCTGAATTAATACTTACTAAGTTAAATTTTTAGATTAATTTGGTCATTGACCTCTGTTTAAAGCCCACAAGTCCCACATTACTTTAGGCCCTATTTTTTCACGACGAAGACAGGAACCGTACGTGATGGTCCGAGAAACCACTAGATTAAACCAGTAGTTTTTCGTTTATAGTTATATAAATAACTTTTGCTCATTAATAATTATTTAGTGCACCAATGAAAGAAGAATCCTTTGGTGAGCAAACTACTCACCAAATTTTTAATTTTTATTTTTTTTGCCAAGATTTAAGAATAGACGGTTATTGATGCATCAGTCACCTAGTGGAGAAAGACCTGAATAGTTCACCCAGTAAATTCTCATTAATGTCAAGCATGAA